TAGAATCATGAAGGCTGGAAAAGCCCTCTAAGATCATCAAGTCCAACCATCACCCAACGCTGCTGTGACCATTAAACCATGTCCCCAAGTGCCACATCTCCATGTTTTTTGAACCCCTCCAGGGATGGTGATTCCACCACCTCCCTGGGCAGCCTGGGCCAATGTCTCACCCCATACCAGAGTAAGTTTATCCCAGCTGTTGTTCAGGGGCAAGAAGAGGGTAAAAGACTCCTGCTTCTAAGATACATTTCTTGCCTTCCCTGCCTGGAGCTTTGCCAAAGCAGCTTCTGCAGGGAGAACCTGAGTGGCCCTGGTGCTTTCTCCAGTACAGTTACAGTGTGTCTGCCCAGCAACCTCTCACCTGCCTTTCAAAGGCTACTGCAAAGGGCCCTGCAGTGTCCCCTGCCAAAGCAGCTTCTGCAGGGAGAACCCAGGTGGCCATGGTGCTTTCTCCAGTAGAGTTACAGTGTGTCTGCCCAGCAATGTCTCACCTGCCTTTCAAAGGCTGCTACAAAGGGCCCTGCAGTGTCCCTAGGATCCAGGTTTTTAAAGCTAATCCTCACCCAGTGGGTGAAATCCTGGTCAAATCAGGCAGACCAATGGGAAATGTTTTGTTTTAAAGACAACTTCTTGCATTACCCTCAGTTCTTTAAGGCAAAACGTCACTTCAGAGTCTACTCCAACTTGAAAGTAGTCAAATTCCTCTGGATTTAGTTGTATTTCAGTAAGCATCATCTTTGAAAAATCTGTTCAAAATAACCAGAAAGTCAAGGAGACAAAGGAGTGGAGCTTGAACTCAACAAAACTATGACTATAACCATGTGATATTTTTGCATCAGAACAGTTTGTGATGATTGTATTTTTATGGTGACTAACAGTAATGTTTAGCTTATCTAGATTTATGTAATAATTAATTAAAATAAATGTCTCTGTTTATTATGTAGTTTTAAATGGCCTTTAACAGAAGCTGTTCTGTGTCCCACCATGTGCTCTGACAGATACCTGCTGTGTTCTGGCACATCTGCTGTGGCCCAGCACAAACACTGTTACTGGCTCCTGAGTGTTGCAGAGATGGGGAGACCAAAATGCCTCCAGACTTTAACGGATGCATCCTAATTGCTGGCAATCACCCGAGGACAATGAAGCTGGACTGAAGTTCTTTGTTTTAAATTATAATCTTTTCCTGATACGTAAGTGGCAACAGGAAATGGGCTCCTCAGTTTCAGGTGTTCAGTTGTTGCTTGTTACCATTAAATTACAAAAGTAAGAGGGTGCTCCCATGGTGTGTTACAGCCCAAAGTGTTCAGAAAAGTTCTACAGAGCTTAAGCAGCTCTCACCACCCCAGCTCCCTTCCAAGGCCTGGCTGCTAGCAAAGCATCACAACCCGTTCATTCCCAGGTGTCTGTTTCTCTGCTCAAGAAGTTTTTATCTCTTAGCCTTCAAAGAAGGCCCCACTGCATGTCCAAATACACTCTCTTACAGTGCCTGAAAAGTGGAGAAATCTACACTTCCAGACTCACTGAGAACCAGAGTTGTGTAGGGTGGAGAAGGCTCCTCGAGCCCAGCTGTACTCGTGCCAGCTCCTGCAAGGCAGAACCAGCTGCACGTGAATGAAACCAGCCTGGGCAGAAGCTGTGACTCCTCCTTTGGGAACCAGACCTGGACCTGGGAACTCCCAGCCATGCCCAGGTGCTGTGTTCAAAGCACAGGTTTTGTTTCAGCACAGAGAACGTGCTGCAGGCAGGAACCTGCACCCTGTGCTCCACAACACCACCACTGCCCGTGATTCCTCCTTTTCCTCAGCATCTCGTTACATTTTTACTCCCCCCTTCTTTCTTACAGTAACCCTTGTATGTTTCTAAACCAACAAAATCTGTCATGCAAAATGTACTCTTTTTAGTATCTCCTTATTGGCAGTGATTTCTTCCCTGTTTCACTCCAGTCTCCACCACTGACTCCTTCTTGCTCTCCACAGCTTTAGCCCGTTCCCAGCACAACCCCGCCCCCAGGCTCCAGGCACTCATCTTTTTCTAGGTCATTATCCTCAGCTTTGGTCATAAACAAGTATGAAAAGTATCCCTTTATTATACCATACACAAGAACCTGCACTTCAAAAACACAATTATCTCTCTAAAATTAGTTTGAGTCACCCCCCAGGAATCTAGATTGCTATCCCTCTGAGATGGAGATCTGAGAACAGCTGTGAAAATTTATTTCAGTTGGCTGCTCAGTCTGATATCTGCTACTGATAACAGGAAAATGATATTTTCCTGAGAAAACACATTCTTTCTTAAAATTTATTAAACCCAGAGGGTGGCAGTATGACTTAAAATCTCTATATGTTCCCTCTCAAAACTCTCCTTCAGCCATAAAATGCAGTCTATGTCCATGCTGCAATAGTTAAAGTTCCTTTAGTTCACCTGTTTTAGTCTCTTGATATCATTTCATGTTTTTGATTTCCTTACCAGTGTCTTCCTCAGCATAACTCTTGAAACAGACTTTCATTGGAGTAACAGATAAGGTTACTTCCTCTTGACTGGTGGTGAAGTGAATCATTGTATCAGCCAGCAGCCTGTGAAATACCAAACAACATTAAAATGGTTTTGCCTCCCACCAATTACTGGCTGGCATTTGTTATTCACTTTAGAAATGAAAATGTTTAGTGGGCAATGTGGTTTGAAAAGCTGCCTTTGAAATGTGCCCACCTTAAAGTGTGCTGTGTCTTTTTAGTTGTTATATAGCAACAGGCACCTAAGTCTAAAAATACAACTAGTAATTACAAAAGCTAATTTATTTATATTTAATGCCTGTCTATGCTGCCAAATCACTCTTACATCTACATATATTCCTGCTGCCTTTTTATATGTGTAGATCAAAATTTTGAGCAAACCTTGGTTCCTATACTCTTTATCCCAAATTCTTTATTTTAGAAGTTGCATAATCTTTTTCTAAACATAATACTCAATATTTATGCAGAGAAATCTTTACACACTTTCAATGTTCTGATGGTTGATTCTTGTGCAGAGGAAACATTTTTACTAGAAATGCTCTCAGGAAAAGCATCAACTGTTCTTTGCCTTTACCAAATCTTGGGTTCTTCCAGGAGCTGCTTTACAAAGATGAACTTTGCTTTATTGCATTAAAAAAAAATTGTACTTTTACCACTGGATTCTTTGCCTATAAAATGAAAGCACTACTTTATTTGTCATAGGGGGAAGTTGCTCAAAGGTGTGAATTCAAATTCTATGTTACACACTTCTCAAGGTTGGGCTTGCAGCAGAATGATCTGAAGTTCTGAAGTTGTGATATGAAAAAGCAAGCACTAGGGTGCAGGATTTAGGAATTTGTCAGGTTTGACTGTGCCCTAATTAGATTTTGGTTGTGTTAATGACTATGAGAGCAGTACTGCCTCCTTTATGATTGTTTTTTTCCCCCCCAGAAAAAGTATTTTTGTATTCATTACCTGGACTGGACTTTAAGTATGTTTGGACACAAGTGCTTTGCAAAAACAGCCTGCAAGGGATCACATTCTTGAAAGGTCAGATTATATGTTTTTACAACACCTAAATATAAAAGACATGAACAAAAATCAACACTGCTCTGTAATTTTTTTTTTTTCTAGTTAGTATTAATTATTCTTTTAGGAAACCTCAACAGAGAAAGTAACTAAGTGACTGACTCTAGCTATGTAGAAATAACTCACCCACAAACAGAAAGCTGAATTAACCTCCCACCTAAGAGTTCCCCCATCCTCTTATTTGTGCCCCTCCAGCACCTGAGTTTTTTGAGTCCACAAAAAATAACTGAACAGTAACAACTGCAGCAAATGCAGCACAAAGTGTTTGGCATAATGTTCCCTCAACAACACTCAGTTAATAATTACACTAAATATGGTGTTGCCCTGCTGTTTAAACTGCTTCTGTTTGTGTAAAGTCACTTTCTGTGTAACCCACCGTGTTTGCAGAGGAGCTGGAAAGTTATGTGACCATTAATAGTTGTGTAAATGCTGCATTTCTCTACATTCCTTTCCAGCACGTTTACACATCTAAATACAGGAAGAACTGACTGTAAAAAAAACCAAAAAAAATTAAAAATCAGTGCAGAGGTTACTCACTGAGCAATTTTGCAATTTTATTTCCCTAGTTTCACACAGTTTCTTTCAAGCTCCTGCTTTTTTTGGTTTCCCCAAACCACTTTGTAAGCAGCCACTGGGGCAGCCAGTGCTGATCCTGGCCACCCTCACCTGCTGTTCCAGGACTCCTCTATGAGCCTCTCCCTGGGATTCCATTTGGAAATTGGAATTGGCTAATTTGGGCGTAACAACCCATTAAAATTTACCTTAATTATCAGTTTACATGGGGGGGATAACTGTTTTTCCTTCTGATGTGGCTGAGACACAGCTGCCCAGCAGTAATGTTGAAAAAACATGGATGAGAAGAAGACACAGGCATACGCTGACCTTGAAGAGTTCACTGATCTTAAGGCAAGCTGAAAATGTAAGTAAAATAATTAACTCAAAACTAATTCCTCTCCAACCTTTTACAAAAAGACCATCTCAGTGCTTCAGTGCCACGCCTAGCCCACAAAACCTTTAAATGTGTTAAAATAAATATAGGTACCTTCTGCATACAATCATGTTCAAACTTATCACCTCTATTACTGCTCAGGAGCCACTGGTATCACCCAGGCAGAGGAATCCAGTCTACAGACACTTAAGTGTGAGTTCCCTCAACACTTGGGTTTGAAGCACTTGAAGGACTGGAGTTTATTTTAAAACTCCCAACCACATGATACATACAAATAAGCAAAGTCACTTCCAGCACCTCAAAAATTCTTCAGGCCTGAAAAAGAATTATCTCCACTTCTGATTTTTCAGCCTCCCAGCAAGTTAAGGAGAGTAGATCACTGTTAACTAAGAAACCCCTAGAGAAAACCCTAATTCTGCTGGAAATGTTTTTTGATTAATCAGAGGCATATTAATGAATGCATTCTTCCTGTTGAGTCGTATCAGTACAAAAACATGTTGTTTAGAGGCAGGTTCTGATGTGGTACAAAACACCAACCTTTTGACCCATGGCAACAGAAATAAAACCCTTGGTATTAATCCGGATGTCCCGGACAAGCTTCATCTTAGGTAACAAAAAATCAAATCATAACAGGGGCAGAGTGGGAATGAATCTTCTGGGATGTAATCTGCATAATTACAATTACAGAAAATATGGCATTTGTCCATAATGAAAGTGGAGGAAGCTGAGAGAGGATGGAACTGACTGAAGGGTACCTGTAGGAAAACAACACAATATCCAACAACACAAATACTGTGCTTTCAGGATTTTAAAATTATAAAAAAAATCAAGTTCACTTACACCTTTTTCTATGGGGTCAAACCAAAACTCATCACTAATACGTGCTATGGCATGTATTGCTCTTCCAAACACTAGCAGGAAAAGAAAACAGTGCAAAATGCATTCTAAGTTTTCTTCAAAGTAATTTAAGAGGAAACATTATGAATTTCCTATACGTTTCAAACAAAAACCCCATGACTTGGTGGAAAACATTACTCCTTCCTTTTTAGGAGCAAACACCTTGAAGTTTTAAAAAAGCTGCCTCTCATGAGGTGCACCTCAAATTTTATCTGTCCCTTGGCAGCATCTGGCATGACCTGATGTCACCACAAATTAATTCAGTCCCACTGGATAAAACACCACCAGTGTCACACACTGCGTTTTGTAGAAGGGGAAAGTTTGAGCCAGCAGTAAGCAGCTGGACACCCGTGAAGAGGCAGCCCGAAGAAACACAGAAGAAACCAGCAGTGAGTGTCAAAATTTGGTACTGGCACCGGCAGCGAGGTCGGCGTTAGACATGAAGGCGCTGCACAGGGGTACCTCTGAGATGGGCGCCCCCCAGCACACAC